TCGGTTCCAGTGTCTCTGTAAGTTGGCAATAGGCATAGCACCCACTTCGCAGATTGGCTCGCTGACCCCAGGCTTTCTGTGGACAGTGGGTTGAATGAGTTGGAAGAGCGCGCAAGTATTGCCAGAGAGGGCGGCACCCTCCATTTCCAAAGCATACTGGGACCAATGGGCTTCACGGTCCCTGTGTAGGCTTTGTTTGAGCTGCCGACTGACAGAACAGTGCACTTCATCATGACTAGACTTCGCTGGGATATTTTTTGCGGCGGTCAAATAGATCCAAAAAGCACGTCGAGATCTAGGCCTTCAAGGGGTGTTGTGTAAAAGCACAGACTGATTGCCCGAAAGAGATCATGGTCAGCTGCATGAACGTTCAGTGTTTATCAAGATCTTCCGTTGGGTCGCAGCCGAGTGCACCAGTCATGGAAACTTGAAAGTTCTGCTGAACCGAGACAGTATAGTTTATTAGTGTCTAGCTTACAATGCTTCCTTTTCGGGGACCTTTCAAGACTCATGCAGATGTTCGCACAGACAAGAGAATGGTCTGAGTCAAGAATAGCGGACCAGATGGATCTGCAATCCTTTACGTTACCCCTAAATCCGAAACTGATTGTGATATGATCAATCTGAGAGTATGAATGAGGCGCCAAGTAGCGAAACGTTTCCTCGAATGTCGAAAGCTGGTGTTCGAGAGAAATCGATGGTTATGTTCGCACAGTGTGAGGTCTCCATTATCTGAGCGGCTCTCATCAAGCGTATAGTGGCCACCGAGATAACTTTCGCAAGATAATAGACGATCGACCCGTGCGTTGAGATCCCCAGAAAGGACAACAATGTTGGATTTGCAGGCTCTGCTCAAGAACTGATGAAGTTCACGGTAGAAATCGTCCTTGAGTGGGTCGTAACTGCAGTCAGTTGGAGCATAAATTGAAATCACAAACAAGTTGCATCTCTCCTCAAGATATGTGTTTATCTTGCATGATCCCCGAAGCCGAACTGCATACAGTCGGCTGTTAACCGGGAACCAGTCCAGCAGTGCGGCCACGGCTTTGCTACTTAGCGCTACACCAAGGCCAGCCAAACCTGCCGCAGCTGCTTCAGCGTCACCAGATAGACGTAGGTGAAATCTGGCCCCGTGGTCGGTGGGAGATCTCAACTCAAGCAAAATACTGAGATCTTGCAAGTGCGTTTCGGAAAGACAGCAAACATTGATTGCCAAGGATTCCAAGGTGCGCGAAAGACCAGCTTTCTGCCCGACTTGCATGAGTGTATGTACATTGAAGCATGCCAGACGGAATGAGGACGGAGGCCGAGGGAATACGACTGGGCGAATTCTATGGGTGTCGAAGAAACCATCGGGAGTAGAATCATGGAAACAGGAATCAGTTGGTAACGGATAACAGTGATTGGTAACAAATGAACAGGTGGCGTGTGAAGGTGTGAGTAGCAGGAGCAAAGGCAGCTAAGAGCGATAGAGTAGATGAACAGTCCATGGGTTTGTCGGTCCCGCAAGACAGCCGGGCTGGGGAGTCCGAGATGGAGAACATCGCTGGGTGCAGACTATTGACGACATGGCGCGTAGTCGGGGCCAATGGAAAGTTTGCATAAGTCTATGTCTTGATTCTACTAATCAAAAGCGTAATCACTAAATTGACAAAATACAGTGGCGTGTGAGAAATTCCAAAAAACTTTTCGTTATATGTTTCCCATTTTGTGGTCATTGTACTAATTACGTACATCTATTCCATGGTTTTCGATGTCTATTCTATAGAAAGCTGCTGATAGGTATCATCAGCCATGCCCCGAAGGCAGCGGTGATCAAAGACAGCCAGCCCCTGAATGTCCTTTACAACAAATCGCCAAGTCTGGCAACCGTAGAGCAGGACTGCTCTTTCCGTGACATTGTAGACTCGGCAATTCAAAGAGAGACTCAGATCGCCTCGATGCCAGAGATGGCGGAGAGTAGCAAAAACAACTCGTCTTGAAGAGACTTAATTCGTAAACCGTTAGCGCTGATGCAGCTTCCGAGGTAAACAAACTTGTCAACCACTTCCAGAGAACGATCTAAAACGGTAAATGTAGGATCAATTCTTAGCCAGTCCTGCAGGAAGACCTTACAATTCGACGGAGCGGTCATTCCAAACCGGGAGACATCTCCAATCTGCCCAGCGAATTTGGGCGGATTGTAAGGAATCGCAAATTATAACGATGTCGTTTGCATACTCCAAATCGCGAAGTCTGTCCATCGGAAGCTATTCAACGTAGCTGGGTTCACAGTTCTCCAGAGCGCTGTCCAAGGATGTCGTCCACAGGGAAACTGAACAGGAAGGATAGTGCTCAGCAGCCCTGTCTCACGCCACTGGTGATATCAAAGGGGAGAAAGGACGCCCTACACTGCACCCGGCAGGAGAGTAGATGACTGGTAGAATGTGAATACTTCTTGGGCATTCCCTCTTACAAAAGACAACTTCGGAGAATAGCTCAGTCAAATGAATCAAACTGGCCTGGTATGTCAATGAAGACAACGATCATTGGCCGGCCGAACGTTTGAGGATGCCTGAGTATTTGGCGGAGCGTAAAGATATGATGGATACAACTCCGGCCGGAGCGGAACCCAGCTTGCTCTTCGCGTATCTTCTGTTCGTGTATCAGGATGAGCCTCCTTAAAAGTAGAACGGCGAGCACTTTGGATGCAACGCAGATGAGACTAATCCCCTTGTTGTTAACGTAGTCTGTCCGTGCACACTTTTTGAAGACCGGCACGATATCCACTAGGCTCTAAACAGAGGGGATGGCTTCAGTGTACCAAGTCTCTTGGACGGGGGAAGTTAAGTCCCGAACAAGAGATGGACCTTCATCTTTGGAAAGAGCTAGAGGGAGTTCATCTGGTCCAGGAGCTTTGTGACACTTTGGGAGGCGAAGCTCATGAGCAACCTCATTCTCCGATAATGAAGCGTCTGCACACCGGGCAGTACTCTGGGTTTCTGGAAGGGTACTTGCCGGTGCTGCTGACCAGTTAAACTGTTGTTCAAAATGCTCAGGCAAACGCACAAGTCAATGTTGTTGACAGTGTATTGGCTCACAAGTGTTTTCGAACATAAGGTTCCTTACAGTCGGATTTTGTTGCCAGAGTATCGGGTTAGAAGGAAACATTTTCGGAAATTCCCCGAGGTGGCTGCTTGCTCCATCTCAATGATTCGCTGCGTTCACCAGGCCTCGCGGTCCTTTCGGAGCAGCTGTCTGAGCTCATTGTTGATCGTTCTACGCAGGGAAGGGTAGCCAACGCCGGCAGGGATTGCTCGACGAGCTAAAAGAAGCTGGAGAGACCGTGCAGAGATCCAGTAGTTGACAGCACTGCTGATGAAACCTCAGACCAGAGTCGAAGGGTGGTGCATGCGCTGCGGATATGTACCCAGTGTTTTGGAGATCCGAGGCCAACGCGACCTGAAAGGTGCTGAGAACTTTTGGATCAGAAAGCTTAGCTAAGTCGAGCCATTTCTGTCGACGCTGTTGGCTGCCAGCAAAACGTACAGCAACCTTAGCACACACGAGTGTGTGATGCAAAGTAAGGTAAGTACTCCAGATTGATTTGCAATCCTGTATGCAGCCGCACCACCGATAACTGATAGCAATGTGGTTACTTTGTGTCCACGGCTCGCCAAGTCTTAGGGGCCTCCAAGTGACACGTTAGCGCTAGAATCGCCGAAAGCTAACACTTGACAAGAAGAGGCCGTGATCAGCGCAAAGCTGAAGTAGGCGATCATAGTAGTATGTTCTGAGAGTACCATGTTCATGTTGACCACCGAGTTCACGCTCATCAAACTCAAGCCTGCCAACCTGCGTGTTAAATTCCTCAGCAAGCATAACGACGTTCGTGCGGCGCTTTTTTCGGAAAAGGTTGGAGAGTTATCACTTAGTGTGGCTCATGTAAGACGCAGCTATTCAAAGATATGGTCAAAGCAGAGAAAACAACGATGTAGGGAAACAGACAATAACATACATAAAAGAGAACTGACCAATGTACATGGATGACCTCAGAGGGCTTGTTGAGTGCGAGTATTAGTGTTTAAAGGGCACCGCACTGATTTGACAGGATCAGTAAATCGAGAAAGCGAATTTTTGCCAACAAACTCTCTGGTATTGCACTTTGCCGTTTGGTAAAACCTGCCCACTCGAAGTTGACTGGGTTATGTTATTATTGAGTGTCCGCCTAACGAAAACCGTTATGCGCGCAGTTTTCAGACACTGCGTTCGGTTGAGTGAAATGAGATTAAGAAAATGGATCGAAAAACTTGCCTGCGCTGGCGTAGGCCGGCCCTATAAGTGTGTACCCCCACGTGCCATACTACAGGATTGGTAGCAGAGTGAATGGTGTTTAATAGTTTTCACCTGTCACATGTAAGCCTCCAGATCATAATTCATCCCTTTTGGATTGCGGCTGCGTTTGGGTCATTTACAGCTCTAACTTTTTCAAACATCACTTATTCCTTTTGTTAGCACCATGAGTGAGCTCGAAATTTCAGCGACTGTATAAATTGCACCTGATTGCCCAGACCATAGCTGAATGGTCGAACCGAGCGGAATACCTGACGGTAACCGAGAAAACAGGTTTTCCAGGTAAAATACCTTAACAATCAGGCCTACAACAAATGAACAGTCTGTTAATTGCAACGAACGCAGAGCTATGAGTTAATTGAACATCCCGCGATAAGAAAAGAGACATTAAATAACTTGTAAGGGGGACAAATGCATGTTTGAATAAAAAAGGGTATGTGTGCTTCTGAGCAGCAGGTACTTCATAAGAGAGTAAAACTGTATGATGGTATTCAAAAATGACAGACTACCAGCACAAAGCCAAATTATTGAAAAGGTTGCACAAACGCGTACTCATTAGAGTGGAGTAGAGCGTGAGACAGAGTATAAATTGAATGGAAGTGAAACAAAAAGGCAGAAGTGGAACGCAATCGTCCAAACATGAAACCCCAAAGTCCTATTCAACTCACCAGCTCACCGGTGATTGCTCATTGGGGAGGGAGCCTCTGGGCAGCTCATAGTGACCAGGTTTAGTGAGTAGAAGACGCATTGGACAGTCAAGTGGCTTGTTATTCTGATTCGCAGTATACGTGGCTTCCTCACGACACGCGTCCACAATCCAGGAAGTGTTGAGAATAGGCACACGACCGAGAGTGGCCAGTGCTTGGAAGTATTTCAGAGTACGACAAAAATCAGGAGCCACGACGGCGATGTACCTGCGACTGGAAGGCGCGGATGCACCATGTTCTTCCCAAGTGGACCAAGGAGACTGCCGAGTCTCGCCCAACATCATAGGGCTGAGTTCGTGGACGACAGTACCTCCGCATGCCAAGACGAGCTGTTCTAAAGCAGCGCGATCAACATCTCCTAAAAAATATAAAGGCCAGAAGACACAAGAAAAACTAAGTCCGAAACTGACCGATAATTCAGTGTAAAAGGTGAGTGGGGACAGGGTATTTCAGAGAAAAATAATGTAACCTTGTTTATCTCACTTGCGAGGCAAGTGACGTAAATAACGTGAATGTACAGCAAATGATCCCTGACCAGAAACATTTTGAACAGCACGATCAAAGTAGCTCACAAAAAGAGTTCAAGGGACCTTCCGAAAAAAACGCAGGTAGATGGCTTGATGAGAACAAATGCCTAATCCCGATCAAGAAAGTAGCGGGGTTCGCGTACGAAAAAGTGTGGAAGAGTGAATCGCATGTAATCAATATAACCGGTCACGCATGTATGGGCGATCGGGAAAAGACAGAAGATAAAGTGATGCTGGAGACCCGCGATGGAGTAATGACGAATGGGGGGGGGGAGGGAGATGCGAATCCAGATTAACAAGGCAGTTCGGTGAATGGAATGAACTGCGGAGAAATTAGGGAGGGGATCTAACATGCTCCTTCTGGCTTCTGCTACCATGACTGAATCACTTCTGCTGACACTATTCCAGTATTAGAAAATGGAAGAGAGAAAAGCGAAAGAGAAGCGAGGTCTTGCGGCGAATGTCGATAGGTCTATCATGGTGGCGTGATGGGTAGTTTTGTCACGATGCTAAGGCAATCCGGGGCTTGCCAAATTAACATAGCCCATAGGAATGCGTGAAGTGAGGACATGAGATCCTGCTCTATCTGCAGTTACAGGATGATAAGAGGTTTTCAAAAAAACTACGAATATAAACGTATGGGTCTATAGCAGACGTAAGCTTCAACAGGGATCCACCGGAGAATGAGTGTGCTTCCCGACACATTATCAAGGACAAACGGATAGTACGTTTGTTGTGCTCCAATGAAGCATTTTATACTTCCTGAGTTTGGAGAGATGGAGATAGGCAAGCCTCTAAGATGCTCAGGATGGAAAATAGAGGCCAAATATGGCTAATGTTCAGACAGTGACACAATGTGAAGGGCCCAAAAGCGTATGGGGAAAAACCTTTTAGTGTAGCCCAATGAATGCACCATTCATGCGAATCATTGTACGACTCCATGATTCGTTCAAACAGATTTTAACCCCCAATGATGTCAGTCCCCTGAGACGCGTGACTACAAGAACATACGAAACAAACGGAGGTGAAAAACTCATGTGCAATGCGGACATCGGCGCAACGTGACCAGTGCAGTGTCGTACACTGGGTGCTGCCCAACACAACGATAATCGGATGTTTGAAGACATCCGACGGTACCAGTTGGTGAGGGCAAGTCTATCGGGAAATTATTTGACAGAAACGATCCGGGTGCTGATACTTGAGTAATCCACTGGTGCTATGGTTCTATTCCATCGTTTAAACAATCGAAAACGAGAACTGCGCTAGGCACCCGCGCGCGAGAAAAACGATATGCACTGTTTTGTGCGGAGCAGGGTACGACATGCGAGGGGCGACGATGCGCTATCGGATTGGACTGTCCTCCAGAAAGTACATTTGCTGACACTCGAGCCTCTGTGTATGAGAGGGTAGAGACTAAACGGGTTAGATAAGATGATAAAACTAACTTAATTGATGAAAAGTTTCTTGTGACAAACAGAGACACAAACTACACAACGGTGCCAAGGAAAACATTCAAGCATATTATCAATCAGGGCAGCAATTGTAGTTGATAATTCGGGTGAGCGGTACCGATCAGCTAGCAGGAGGCCAACGAAGTGCTGCCCATGCAAGCTAACCACGATAGTGACTGCCGGAGGTAGGATTCTTTCAGCATATGACGACTGAATCGTAGCCTGATCGTTGGCACGGGGGAAACGATTGACCTGGACGACAGCACAAGCGAGCTAACGAACCCAGTCTGTGATGGTCTAACCTAATCCGGGGGTGGAACCGATGCGGAATGAGTGGACAGATAAGAATCAAGTTGCGCAAGTTAAAAAGGAAAGCACATGTCAGACGTAAAACGCAGAATTGGCGTGACTCAGCATGAACATAGTTCAACATGACCTTAGGAAGGACAGCCGTCCGTTCAACTAAGAACAGCGCGAGAGCCAATGAACACACACAGAGGACAAGGAAGCTACAGAGAAATATAGAGTGGAAAGCTGCCACGATGAGATAGCTCCTTAAATAGATGTCGTCCTACGATTCGTTAATAACAGGTAAGTGGTAGCTACTCAGACCGTACATTCATTTTGCGGAGCACATGACACGAAGTAGCAGATTATAGCCAGGCGGATCACAATGCGCAACTCTGGAGGTGAAGGGCAAATAAAAATGGTCGAGTGTAGATCGTACACTTCGTCACCCAGTGTTGGGTTCCTGCGAGTATGTTGAGCGAAACGACTAACAGGTGACTGGATAAAAAACTTTTTGGGTCAACAGGTGAATGGTGCGACTGTTTTCACTCATCCGCTTCCGGGATAGTACCGTGATCCAGTCTTGGCAATAAGTTGAGCTGCATAGCTCGCGCATTCAGGTCATGGAGAACGCGCTACCGAACAGAAAACAAAAATGCCTGGAAATCTAAATAGGCTTTAGATTTGTTGCGCCTCCACTCATGGCGTCAGAGCGCTCCTCGGGTACATCAAGTTTAACAATCGAATTTGCCTAGAAAGAGCGCAAGAGGTGACAACAAAAAATATATAAATGGAAAATTCGGCGACGATTCTCTGATATAAACGAAGAATGCGGGGCCTACCTGAATAGGCGACCTTTGAGTAGCCAGTAAAGACAATTGTCCAGTTGGAAAAGACACAAGGCCCAGGGATGGGGATGCCGAGGGAACGACCCAGTGATCGCCGCAGAAAGACCGAGGTGGAAGAGTCAGGAGGGAGAGTTTGAATGTTGCGAGTGTCTGGGGACAATAATGAGCTCCGTATGGTTGAAGGGGCTGACAGGGCGGATAAGAGAAGAAAAGACAATAAAGTTACCCGGAACGAGACCGTAATCAATGCAGGAAATGTCGTGACAACTGCACAAAGGATAAGGCAAAAATGAATTTCACTAGCGTCTTTTGGTAAAACCTGAAGCGTAAAGGAAATGCTTGAAAGCTAGGTAGGAAATCATAGTAGGTTGAGTCGCGATACAACAAAAACGCCTTGGCGCATGGAACATAGACGAAATGAGATGGTTATAAGGCCATAATAGCTACAACAATAAGCAGCAAAGAATGGAAGGATGGAGATAAGGTGAGTTCAGAAAATCTGTGCAAAATCTTAGCTATACTTTTGTTTGCCGAACGGAGCAACACAATTTATTTGTAACAAACGGGCAAGAGAAAGCATGAGTCCAACGTAGGTGTTGGCACAAAGATCATGTTGTTAACAGCATTAGTGAACCTATGGTGCCTAATAGAAAGTGAAGCAGAATACCTCTCAATAAGGTGTATGAGAAGGCATCGTAGTGCGCCGGTACGCAATACTGACGCTTCGCTGCCGTGCAACCAACACCGGTTACACGTGGGCTAAGGATACCACGAAGATTGTCCTGCCCTGACGCAGGCTCGAACCCGCGACGCATAATAAAACAAGCTCGTTACCTTAAGGCTATGGGCCAAAGTTTGACAAGTCACGTTTGAATTACGGAGGAAATAAATATCAGGATCGACTAGTCAAAAGTAACTGTAGACAGGGCGGAAAAGGATGATATCCTCAAATGAACTACTATATCACCGCTGGAACTGAGCGGGTCATGATGGTTGAAGTCGATGCCTCGATAGCTAGTCACTATTGGTACAAACATCGCTGGTGGTGCAAAATACGCATCCGTTCGGCCACTTTCAGGCCGATCGAAATACAGTGATATGAATCGCGAAGAACAAACCACATCTATACCTTAGGCCGAGAACGGCTCGACTGAAAATCCGAGAGCACAGATGTATTTCCTGGGTACCCACTGACATAAGAGGTTGATTCCAGGGAATGACTAGATGCATTTTCATTGTTAGGCGCCAGGTTCAAAAGGTCACAATTGCTCGCATGTGCAGAGACTTATTAAAGAGTGAGGAATAACCGCAGGCAGCTTTCAGTGAGCAAGAAAAAGGATAAGATTCGCGTGAGGGAGTGAACAAGTTCAGCGAAATCTGGGACATAGCGATAACAGTAAACTTCACAATAAATAATAAGACTATCCTGATTTAAAGTCATAAGAAGACATGAGTAGGCTTAGCGTAGAGCGAATGCCATTAAGCTTACACGTCAATTGCATCTGTGTCCGATGTCAATCCTACCAAAGCACGCAGTAACATGCGCTGTGGTGCAGCGTAAAAGTCTACTAAGGAGTTCGTTGTGTCCAGCGAGAAACGCTGTAGATGTGACGTGCCTAAATAGAGTTTGAAACCACAAAAATACCATGACGCCAATCAGTATAATCGTCATAGGTAACTGCCTTAGCATATTATAACAGGAATATTACTCACAAGAGATTCAGATTAGGAGTATGAAACAATAGTTTCATAGTTTTGGAAAGTTTCAAATGTCAGAACCACCTAAAAGTGGGGGGCATCTAAGAGTGGCTCTGATCAATGTAGCCGCTTCTTTCACAATGAGGATGTGAGGAAGCGATAACGAAGCTCAGCTAGGTGCAAGTGTGAGTTGCGATAGCAAAGCTGTTCACATACAAAAACGCGTTTGCTTCGGCTAGTGGGAAGAAAGGTTCATGGATGGAATAGTGAAACAGAGTCGTTGTAGTCAACATTCTGATTGTAACAGATAAAAAGAAAGACAGCAAGCGAAAAAAAGCAAATTGCAAGACTAGCTAGTTCGCGCCGACTTGATGAATTGTTTAAACTAATTCAACGAAATGCCCAACGCGATGGCTGAGAATTTGCAAGGCAAGTCAGTGGCAGCTAGTTCGTAGAGTAGATTAACAGGATGTGACGACTACCGAACCTAAAGGCACATGATCCGACACGAGGGCGATTTAATTCTGTGGCGGGTAAAACCATTGGAAAGCTACGACCGTTAGGCTCCAAATACAAAACAAAACTCAAAATAAGGAGGACGAGCGTGGCAGGATAGTCAGCCGCAGGAAAGGCCAAACGTCCGCACCTGTCAGACAATACACATAAGTACACCATGTCAACGGAAACGGTAAAAGTTGAGCTCGTGAGGAATGAAGATTGTGCATTTCAAGTTTAGAAAATATAAAGAACCACAGTGAGTGGGTGATCGCCAAACAAGACGGGCAAAGTGGAAAGTGTCAAGCTTCCTTAATGGCGGTGGAGTGGATGGATCGAAAGCTTCGACAACTGAAGGGAATGGCATAACGTGTGTTCATGGATAAAAGACACAAAAACTATGGACGAAAATCAGAGGTCGTAGTCACGAAGCTGAACACAGAGTGAGGTGCGAATTACAAGGGGTAGTTGGCTAGAGAATGACTCATGAGATCAGAGAAGTGAGCAAATGTTCGGAAAGCCACTTGTGTGTCAAAAAAGGATAGGGGACAACGTGTCACCACTGAATTCACCCTGATGTGTTCAAAATGATGCCAACCGATCACCACAGGACTGCCCAATTAAAGCTGTGAAACGTCACGTGATGAAAGTCAAGGACCCATTATTTGCTCATATGGAAGCACCCTCGTTAAGAATAGGCATGTGGCAATGAAACGCATGGGGGGACACACTCGACCTGGTTGTTCATTTGCTCGTATGTTCTCATGCTGAGGCTGACGTTGCATTACTGATGCTTCTTCACGGCAGTTGGGCTAAACCAACTTACACTTAAACTAGGTCTTTTTAAGCTGGCTAAATTTCATTCCACTTTATTTGGTTTGTTCTGCCTACCTGAATAATCTTCTATTAACTGATCACGTTGCTTACGCTGATTGCGCTTATATTCGGTAATTTTGTTGCGTTTGTAGCATTTTTAAGTAACTTGTGGACATTTCTTACTTATCGCAGATTCGTTGCTAACCAACTTACTTCATATGCTAATTTAGCGAAGAGTTATGCCACCGTATCTGTATGCATTATTGGATTTATTTTATTTCAGCTTGTCGTTTAAAGTGAATGGCTGTTGCTTGATATCCCCGGTGTGGCTGCGCTTGATGTGCATGTTGACAAGGTGCCTACCTGTCTATTACCCACTACCTCGTCCATACTGGCTCCAGGAGACAGTTGGTCGTTGCTAGAGAGGACGGGGTGCACGGTCCTTGTGGCCGTGTTAGGATCAAAGAGTGGTTCCATGCACTCAGTGTGGAGCGGACTACGATCCAGCCACCGCTTTGTGTGCGCTTGATTCCCAAATACAGCGTGCATGTGTTTGTTTGTGAAGGAGTGTGGGCCGGCTCCGTTGATGAAACGTGGCTCCCATCCACATGCCTCCCGGTCTTATTCCTTCGGGTTTACACTGGATATGGGGTGTGTGGCTGGAGCTGTGGGTGGTGCAGCACAAGCCACCCGTGGTCCCTCTGTAGGTGCAGGCGTCCTGTGGCTGGCCACAGTGACAGGCAAATCCGAAACCGGATGCCGCCAACCATGTTCCCAGATAAAGCAAGCATACAAAGATTCATGGTGCAACAATGCTTTGTTAGATGGGAACACCGATGCACCGAGCACTCTAGGGTATCCCCAAAAGCATATCATGGGTGAAAAGGCGCTACTCCGTAGCTAGTATGGTGTGGATATTGCGGATCATATGTGAGGTGACACGTCCATTAATCCACGTTGGTGGACATGATAATATGCTAGTTCAAGACGCATACCCGATTGGCACTCACGTGTAGGTTTAGCGCTTTCTTCCGAATCCGATGGAGCAGCGTCGCTGTCATTTTGTAGAGAGTCATCAAGACGTTGCTTCTTTCGTATTCTCCTCAAGTCCGAACGAGGTTGGGTGGAAATATTGTGTGCTCTCTTCGATTGTGATGACAGACTGCCGTTCATCGTACGAGCTGGTTCTGACCTTGCCTGAAAAGAAATGAGCATTAGTCCACGTCGTGAATTAACCAGGGAGACATACACGTGCAGTTTTGGGTGAAGTTTGATGACACACGGTCAAAGGTATTCTAGAATGTGGAGGGTCAGGTGTTTCGTCAGGAGTAGAAGAGAAACGCGTAAGCGGCGTGATCCAACTGGCCCGATACCGTTTAGTTTTCAGCTGTCGTTTGCTGAACAAAACATTTGCAAGACTGACCTAGAAGAGAAAGATAGATGAGTAGCTGCGAGAGCATGATAGAGTCGGTGGATGGAAAAAAGTTAGATGTCAAGCTACGGGCCAAAGAAAAGTACAACATAACGAATACTGCATTACAGAGCAGGTATAAATGAATTCCGTACAAATCTTTCGAAATATGGTGAAAAAGCTTATAAAAATTGTCAACCGTGAATATCGTTCTCATGCAGCATTTAAAATACCTGACTCCCGGTATTGCAAGACTCAAAAATTTGAAATGTCATCGTAAGTGTGCAATCGTTCTCTGAATCGAATAGTGGTAAAATATAAATCTAACAACATTTTGAACTGCTGCACAAATGTCGCCTCCATCACATGTTTAGGCAAACTGCTCCAAATACTTACCACTCTCCGTTCGAAGCACAGCGGGTGGGGAACTCACTTCACATCCGGCACCACAAGTTGGTATCTGTGTCCGCGTGTGCTGCATGGCCATCGTAAGTGAGGCATTGGCGTCAGCATGGGGAGGTCACCGAGATGTAGCATGCGGCAGGTAATAATGAGGCCGACTCGGACCGATCTTCATACCCCAAGCCACTTAAACTCGGGATGAGTCTGGTAGCAACGTATTGGACCCGCTCGATCTTTCGTGCCTAGCCTCGGGTAATCGGAAAGTAGGCGGGCGAACCGTACTCTAGCATTGGCCGAATGATGGAAGAGAAGAAACGAGTGGCAACTTCTTCAGACCATGTGAAGAAGCTACGTTTGAGCACCCAAAGCAGGCGCAGTCCGTTACGATATAGCCTGTTCGTGTTGTCCACGGACTTCAAATCATAGCGCGAGAGTACACCTAGGTCCTTCACGGAGCGAGTAGGATACAGCGCTTAGCCGTCAAGGGTGTAGGTTCGGCCGTTAGCACCCCTTCGCAGGCTCATAAATACAGACTTGCCTGGGTTGACCGGGAGATGAACTTCTGCAGACCATGTGGATAGGCGGTTGAGGTCTTGCTGAAGTAGGTCACAGTTGTTGGGAGCATCAATTTCTCTCCAAATCTCCATGTCGTCCGCAAACAAGGCACACGGCCACCGGAGAAGCTGAGGTAGATCGTTGATGTGGATCAGGAACAGAGTGGGCCCCAGCACAGTGCCTTGAAGCACGTCACTTGTAGAAAGATACCAGTTAGTTAGATGGTTGTCAAGCTGTACCCTCCACTTTCGTCCAACAAGAAAGTCGCGGATCCACTGGTGCAGTGAGCTACCGACACCGCACAGCCTGAGTTTGTGAAGGAGAACCTCATGGCTGACCTTGTCGAACGCTTTGTTGAAATCGATGAATATCACGTGGTCAGACTTCCCCTTGCTTATCGCGTCCAACCACTTATGCCTCATCACAAGCAAATTTGTATTGCATGAACGGCCTTGCATAAAACCGTGCTGTGCGCGCGTCAGGACCTCTTTTGACTGTAGCAACTGCAATAATCCCTTTTGTACGCTTTTCTCAGCAAGTTTTGCCAAAAATGTGTCAAACAAATGGGCCTGTAGTTGTCTACTTTGCTAGGGTCGCTGCCTTTCGGGATAGGCTTCATCACCAAACATTTTCAGTCAATCGGCAAGGAACCTTCGGACAGTGACCTGTTGAAAATGTCAGTCAAGACAGGAGAGATGATGGCCGAAAGTGACTTGAGAATCATGAGTAAAGCCCATCAGGTCCGGTAGATTTAGTGCCGTCAAGGCTGCCGAATGCGAAAAAGGTTACAAGTGGCTTGGAGGAGGGGGGAAATGTAGCACTAATGATCTGAAATAATTTCAGTTATTTCCAAAGGTTCAGGCAGTTGCCCGGTCATCTTTAGGCGACGAACGCAGTTCAAAAACTTATAATGACACTGAGAGGAGTTAGCTAAGACAGATGCAAAATCAAAACTCTGGGTTAGTAACAAATCAAAAGTAAACATCCAATTTCAGTGGAATGTGTAAACGAAAAAGATATAGTTTAAATAGAGGAAGGTCATGTACGGACGAGCTAACACTTTTCATCAGAATACTTAACGCTGCCGAAAAGAAGGGACAGGGTAAAAAAAGATTATGATGATGAGGTCAAGTTGCTCAAAGCAACCATGAAAAATTGCATAATCAAATGTCGGCTGATTGGGAGATGGATGTCCTATGACAGCCTTTCTGATGGAGGAGGTGCAGGTATTTGAACGATTAGCCGGCGAGGGCAATAAGAAAAAACACCAATATCTTAAAGCTAAGTAGAAGTATTGGGGTTATTTTGGAACGCCTACTGTGCGAATGGATTGTGACGCAGTCTCAAACTGGACTGTGATTCAATTTAAACTGAACCCGAGTATTGAGGGCCCGTCAAATATCCCCGCAAGAACGCGCCAGAAACTCCGGCATAGTGGCTGTGGAAAGCGGGGTCCATTCCTCCCCACAACGTAGCAGTGTTCAGCCACTCCGAGACGCGGCCCAAGTGCGCACCTGTTGACAATGTTCTTTTGCAAACTACCACCCCATCGTGGGAGCAATTTTCCCTGACTTAATGACCCATTGCATTGGCTGTGATAAGCCCTTTGTTGGTAGTAAAAGAGCCAGCTGTGTTGCTTTTCCTTCACCCTAGTTGGGAGTCCGTCGGTCACGTGATTTTGTGTGCGTCGTTAGCCGGGAAGCGTTCGCGTCTAAGTCACTAGCGCGCGTCTACCGTAACCCCCTCTCGTGTGCGTAGCCTCGTCCGTTACGAGGGCTCAGCGTCTACCCGAATGTGTGGCTAGGAACGTTCTCACGCTCGCTCAAATTCCGTCTCACGGGGCTAAGCTAACGCCATCAGTTCTGCGCAAATCCGTTCGATTGGCCAGCGTTCCAAGCCGTTACCGTAGGCGTGCTCCAACCATGCCAGTGACAATCTTATCAGGTGTTACGCAATCACAACAGAGGCGTCCCTCAATCATAACACCGAGTCAACTCGGTTACTGCGACTATGTCTGAAACGGATGGATGTCGCAGCAGTAGCTCTGACGATAATGTGGAGGTGGTAAATGCGATATTGGGGATTACATATTGCTGTGATATCAAAGAAATCAAATCAATATGGTTAATCACAGAAGTTAATCGCCCACCTCGGGAGAAAAGACAACAGACTTCGATGGTGGCAAAGAGATATCCTGTTCAGAAGTTTCTTCATTCTTCGATTTGCTGAGTGAACCGCCGTCGTTCAGCGATTCCAACCTGGATGATAACTCAACAGACTCACGAAGTGCAGTCACTTCAGACTGATGGACAGAAACCTCCCTTCGGCTAAGGCTATCAAAAGACAAAGATGAAGAACAGAGCAATGAAGGGGGTTAAAATTATAACCCATTAAGAGTGAGTTGGCAAGATATGGGTAGGATAAATTGGGCAACAGGAGTAACGGTAAAAGAGTGAACGGATTCAGAAGGTCCCATCTGCAGAGAATGGGCTTCATGAGCAGTACGATTATTGAAGTCAACACCGCACGCGAGTTGGGAGCCTTATATCGTCGGGTAAAACGAAACAACACCGTGATGCCAGAGCAAATGATAGCGTAGTAATTTTTATCAGAACCACAAAAATGCAGTTAACATAAAAATGGTTGGCGCGAGATTTCGGTAGGGAAATAAGTATCCAAAACCAAGGAGAAATACGCGAATGCCATAAGAGTTGTTGAGTGAGAAAAGACAGGGAAGGCAAGACGTCGGTACGCATTACCGAGGTTTCGTAGCCGCGCAAACACTAACAGTCGCGCATGGGATAGAATACTGTGAGGGTCGCCCGGTCCCAAAGCAGGTTTGAAACCGCGATCTCAAATTACAAGGCAAGCTTGTGATCCTTAAGGCTAGGAGCCGGAGTGAAGAAAGGATTAATTCTGTGAAATAGATAAATAAGTGCATTCACTGAACATATGGCACATTTATCTCTGTCCAAATGAAAAATACTGCTTAAGAACCGAAAGTGGAAAGCGAGCATTTAAATTCTTATAGGTAGAAATTCGCCACATTTAGACACACGCAGACAGTCATCACACGACCGGAAAAACTCTACGGCCGTTGCACACTTTTGAGAATCGTCAGCAGTGCGCATTCCATCTCACCCTGGTAGGGCTCGAACTCGCAGCTCGATTGTCGCCAGTCTGTGGTTAAGACCACTGGGCTACGGGGGACGGCAGCGACCGTTGTGAATAAGTTACTAGATGTGATATAGCGCCGCACACTATCCACTAACTTGCACGTTACTGCCGTGCAGAGGACAGCATAGCCCCTGACCAAGCGACGAACTTACCAAAGTTAGGCCGCCAATTAACTTATGGCATTATAAGCAGTTTGGCCCGCGTGCTGATTACATCCCGTAACTTATTCACTACGGGTGTCGACATCCTATGTAGCTCAGACTGGCAACGGTTGAGTTGCGGGTCAGAGCCTTACAAGGGTCAGATGGAATGTGCACTGTTAACGATTCCTAAAAAGATAAAACGGCCGTATGGTGCCTTTCCGAGTGTATGATGTCTGTCGGAGTGAGTCTAGATGCGACGAATGTCTACCTATAACATTGAACTGTAAGTTAAACTTTTATCCGTAAGACATGTTTGGTTTAGCTGATCAAGCAGACTATGTTGTGGTGCAAAGCGTTCGACAGAGTAATCTGTGGCTGTGCGAAATCCAACCACCATGAAAATGGTGCTACTGTACGCAGGTCGGATGAATTGGCGATCATTGAAACAATGAGAGAGAAAGGAACGATGCCCAACAAGTAGGCCGTGGTTAAGAATGCAAAACGTTATTCAGAGAAAACGTAGGCTATATAAACAAGCATGTTGAGGATGGGACATATGGAAATGGCTAAGGAGGAAGGGAGGCGTTAGCCAGCTCTAAGCATCAATACTTCAATGCCAGTGGACACAACTGAGTGGAAAGAAACTAGATGCGAACAAAGTGTCAACTCAGGCCCGTGAGAATTGATGAAGACTTGGAGAAAAAGATGTGTGGCTATCAATATATTCTCTAGAAAGTGAGCGACATTGTCGCGTCAATCAGGTGGATTGGCCCAAAGCAAACGAATATGGAAGAACGATAGTATACAAACAAATGAGTATAAGTGTTGACTTCCCAAAGGACACTTACGCTTTACGCTCACTGTTAGTCCGACAAAAGACCAAGTAAGGCCTATGCGTATCCATCAGATGGGCTTCCACAACGCAATCGGCCCAGAACTCGCCGCTGTTCGACCAATCAGCATACACCTGAGAAGGGATGAAAAGAAATAGACTGATCAAGATGAAGGCTCCAGCGCGAGAGGTGGTAATTATGAAGGGTCGCAAGGTCAGGTCAAGAGGGGGCTGGAAAAACAGGCCGGCACATGTGGCCACAAGGAATAACAGAACTGTCCAATGCTCGTGCACATGTTTATCAGCAGCGAACGAAAGCAGCCGGAAGCGAGTGGGGAATTGCGCAACTGCGAGTAGGAAAATAAATGGAAAACGCAAAACCGCACCAAGTGAGTTCACCAATCACAGCGTCAAAAATCAGGCTGGGCAATCTAAAGGCACCAGCAGCACGCCGGTACACTGTGCCGACGATTCGCCGCAGCGCAACCACCACCCGTCGCGTGTGGGCTGGACAAAACGCGAAGTTGTCCGCATCTACGAACTCGAACAGGTGATCACCGGATAGCAAAAAAAGAAAGGCATCAGGAGTACGCCGGTACGTAGAACGAAAGCTTCGCTGCCGCGTAACCACCACCGGTCGCACGTGAGCTATAGGATACTCCGAGAGCCGCCCAGTCCCTACAAAGGTTCGAACCCGCGTCATCAGATTACGTACAGGCCGGCATCACCGGAGAATATGGCAGGCGCATAATTCCTTCGGCCAATTAAAGATGCGGTTAATCATCAAGCGGCGCCGGTGTACGGAGAGTGCACGATGTACAATGACGCAAGTGAGAAGTGAAAATGACTTACAAGGAAAAAATAACATAGAGAGAAACGGACCTCTAAAGTGAAGGTAAGTAAACATTAGATCCGGTGCACTCGCGAAGCTACTATATGATGGTTTTGTTGTAGTTCGTACCCCTCAGGTACAGATAACCCAGGGATGTAATGATTGGCGACTTGCGGCTGCACTCTTGTGTCAGAGAATCCAAACGGGTACAAAACAGATTTATTGAGTGTGTAATGTCCCGAAAGGGATAACAGCTAACATTTATCCACTTCGGGTACAATCCCAGTCATCCAACTGACCGAGATGCCTTCGGAGTAAATCGCAACCCATTCCCCATACAGGAGATGCTTCAAATGAACGAACAAAGCGGGAAGATCACAGATATGTAGTAGCTAGAAGCAAATAGCATAAACAATCGTAGTCAAGACCAAACGGACACAGATAAAACATATGAACATGTGGGGCCATATGCGACCGATGTAATAAGAGCAGGAGGGTGGTTGTAGAGCAGTAAAATGAAGCACGTGTAAAACAAGGCACAAGTGCATAAAGGATCATTTGCACCCCCGCGTGCATGTTGGCCGATTAGAACGCAGCCGCGAAAAGCAACTGAAAGCCTTGACGGGTGTAGTTCGATTGGCGCAAAGCACGAGCACAATTATCCCTTGACGATGAGAGAGAGCAAGCTCTGCGCACTGGTTTGCTGCCGCGTGGAAGACAGCGGAACTACAATCACGTGAAGCACATGATTCTCAGTGCTTTATGAATTATATGGCCAGAAAACCCCATGTTCACATGGGGAAAACTTGGGTTAATCAAAAAATCGGAAGTATGGACCTCCGAACAAAATCATCTCAATGAGCATGGGACCGGAAAGTGTGAGATGACTACAAAACACCATAGTTGTCGCTTGTTCCTCATTTCTGTTAATTTATCAGTTCATCTGCCGCTTTTGCATGTCAGTTAGAATTAGGAAGGGTGAAACATCGTAAGATATGGCAACAATAAAGACGAACCATCATATGACGCGTGCTACATTACGTAGCGCCTTGTAACTTCCGTACAGAGTCATGTCAGCCAGTAGACCGCATGCGTCATGAATCTGCATCTGCTGGTAGTTGGCATGGGAGATACTTTTAAAGCATAAATAAAGGCAATACAGAGCTCTTATACCTTTAGCGATATAGGAATTGCTGTCAGCAGATGTTCGAGTAAGATGATGTTCCCGAAAAGCTTCCAGTGAACAGCTAAAAGCAAGTGATTCGACTTCGACGCTCGTAAGAAACACCAAGAGGCACAGCTTCTTATTGACTTAGCCAACGCTCTCAATGGCAGTGGGCCGACGATTTCAAAAATACATTCCACGATAAACTACTTTTCCTAGTTCGGATGACTAAAAACAAAGGCACCGCTGGTGTCGTTATGGGATACGAAGGCTCGAGACGGTCACCTCAGATTTCAAAACACCAATTTGGAGTCCATTTATGAGTAGATGCACGCCACCCCGAGGCGGAGCTGTATGCTGTCGGAAGCGACCTCAGGTTGCGGATTGGAGAATGCCTTCCTTGTGGAGGTAACAAGGAATAGGTAAGGTTTTCCTCGTCGGAAAGATGAATAAGCAGCTGTGGACAATAAGCGGCATCCTATCAGCGTGTGGAGTTATGGATTAGAGATATAGTTCTGAATCAAATAAAACAAGAGCTCGTACGGCGCTGTGTCAAAGCCACTGTGACCAGCTATAAGGTCACTGATCCCTCACTTTGTAATCAGGGGTGAATAACTAACCGAGGGCGGATGAACAACCTTGTTGGCCACTGGTTTTTGTGTGAACTAATACCGAACACAAAAACGAATGAGTCACCTGGCTGTCAAAGGTCTTCATATTCAGCAGCTAGTTGGACGTCCAGCGACGTGCGTTAACCGTCCCGCTGCCTTGCAGTACAGACCTTTAAAACCAAAAGCTCAGGGTGGGGTCCCTCAAAATAAACCCACTTTCTGGCCTGGACAACGGGCAAGCTCTCTGTCCATATAACACATAAAGCCATGTAAACCTTTCTCTGACTGCCTCTTTTACTGTTTTGTTGTTGCCACCCGTGTGTTGTAAACTCTGTCAATGATTTATCAGTCAAGTGTTAAACATATATGGTTGTCGACACCCTGTTCCGGATGGGCACAGCTTCAGGACGCCTGTGCCCACAGAGGGACCATGGGTGGCTTGCGCTGCATCCCCCACAGTTCCATCCACATACCCCATATCCACTGTAAACCTGAAAGAATAAGGCCGGGAGGCAGGTGGATGTGGAGCCACGTTTCATCAATGGAGCCGGCCCAGACTTCTTCAATATATACAAAAGCAACATTTTTGTCTATCCAATTTGGGCATCATGCGCAGCAGACGTACAAAAGACGACCGGTTGGCTAGTTTCACATTGCATGAAACCACCCTTTCAGCCTAGCACGCCCACGAGAACCGTGCATTCTACCCCCAAAGTAACGATTCACAGTCTCCTGGAACAAGTAATAGAGGTGGAGATTGTTAGACAGGTACGCGACCGGTAAACATTCAATCAAGTGCAGCCACACTGAGGATGTCAAGCAACAGCCCATCACTTGAAATGACAACAACAAATAAAGTAGATCGAAAACACCATACGGATTTGCTGACATAATTCTTCGCTATATTATCAGATGAAATAAATGGGTTATTAACACACCTGCGATAAATACAAGAAGGCAAAACAAGAGATCAAAAAACATGCAATAAACGAGATAAAATGAACGAAGTTAAGCACCTTTCGTTTAAGAGACATGTGCAAGTTAATAGAAAATTATTCAAGTAGACATTAAAATGAGGTGATAACATAAGCATTAAGACAATGTAGCAAACCAAGCCCCTGAAATAAAGAAACTATTCGTTAGGAAGTTGTCGATGGTACTCTTCCCGTAAAACCTAGCCATGCGAAACAACAGGTATACGGGTTATAAGCTCACAGCTTGATTGGCGTAGAGCACGAGCACGACGCATTATCTCTGACGGTGGGAGCGCACCTCCGGGTGTTCAATGGTTTGCTACTGCCCGCCTCAAGCCAGGCAGCCCCTGGCCAAATTGGTGCAAACCCGCCGAAACCCACCTGCGTCTGGCCGTGGTCGCAGGTGCGTATCCTACTACGGTCGCAAAACATATGTGAATCGTTCCAGTACCTCAAAGACTGCGTGCGGCGGCCGTCAAGCAGATCCCAATCTGTCTCTGCAATAGCATTCCCCAGTTGGATCTGCTCCCCACTGCCTTGTGGGTCCGGCTATTGAACCAAAGGCACCAAGCGGCGTCCATCAGGCAAACCTCCAAACCACCGACTGCGTTGTGGGTCAAGCTATTGAGCCAAAGGCTCCGGGCGGAGTCCCTCAAGCAAACTTCGGAAGCACAACGACTACCACGCGTGCGATTGCCCACCAATGCAATCGGATGCCTGCGCGCAAAGCACTCAGCATCGGATGTTGGAACATGCGCACACTCCTGGACCGGAACTCCAGTGAGCGCCCCGAGCGACGCACTGCACTGGTCGCGATGAAACCAGCGCGCTACCACATCGATATTGCGGCGCTCAGTGAAACTCGGCTCGCTGAGCAAGGTAAGTTGCATGAAGCAGGTGCTGGCTACACATTCGACTGGGTGAGCAACTCTGCCTCAGCACCACGTGATCATGGGGTCGGACTTGCAATATCCGATCGCCTCCATGGCCAGCTCGTGGGTGAACCAACAGGCATCAGCGCGCGACTGATGACCGTTCGCCTACGACTCGGAAGAGGTAAGTTTGCCACCTTTACAAGCACGTACGGTCCGACCATGTGTTATCCTGATGACACGCGTGATCAATTCTACACCCAGCTATCCTCCGTGGTACGGTAGTGCCGGGGAGCGACCGACTATTTCTGCTGGGTGATTTCAACGCGCGCGTTGGGCGTGATGCATCGGTGTGGACAGATGTTATCGGTCCGCATGGCATTGGTTCAGCGAATACGAACGGTAACAGGCTGCTCTCACTGTGTGTCACTCCCGACCTGACGGTCACAAGCACTCAGTTTACACTGAGTGCGAGTGATATAGCAATTTGGACGCACCCACGGAGTGGTCACGCTCACCTGCTCGACTATGTCATCGTACGTCAGCGTGATATGCGGGAAGTGCGCATTACACGTGTACTGCGTGGAGCTGAGTGTGGCACTGATCACAAATTGGTGCGCACCAAATTGTACATATTTTCGTAAATCTATGTATTGCACTTCCGCCGCGAATCGGCGTAAA